ACCTTCATATTTCTCAACAATCTCTTTTTTCAGTTCCGTTGTGATTCTAGTCATTTTTTTATTTTTCTGTTGCCCTTTTGCAATTCATGATTAATAAAAATAATAAAATGTTACTTACAAATTAAAATCAGAAGAAATTTAACAAAGTTATAAACCTTAGCACCGCGAATGTCTAGTCTAGTGTAGTACACGGATAGTGCTATTTGTTCATAGATGGCGCATATAATTGAATTAAGTTGTATACCGAACAAAAGTCGTATACCGAGCAAAATTTGTTTCGTCCAAACAGGACGTATTCCGAATTGGACGTATTCTAGAGCAGACGTATACCGAGGTTCCACTGTATATATTTTCTTACTACGTTTATTCATATGTAATAATAAAACTACATATATACACGGTCTTGCATTTATATATATATATATATACACAGTCATGTTTTTTTCCGTTTGTGGGGGTTAACGAATCTGTCCAATGTCAATTGTCTTTCTGTCTTCTTCATGATTTTTCAGAAGTAATTAATATCATTGTAATTGTACAGATCCCTAGGCCTATTAACCTCGACCTGGTTTGGATGCCATTTTAGGACCATTGTTCTGACATCCTCCCACTTCTTCAAAAAATCATTAATTGCAGATATTGGCATAAATCCGCTTTTTCAGAAGAAAACGTAAAAAGTTGTTTCTGTCAGAAATATAAAAGGCTGGAATTACAAGGGAGAGTTTCAAAGTTCAGGGGAATACTATCCGATCAGTATATATTGGGTTGAACGTCAATGTCGATGTCTCCTGCACTCCGAAAAGTTTTGAATTGTTGCCTGAAGACAAAGGAAGACCAGTCAGTATTTGTTATTTTATATCACTTCTTGTGTTTGTTCAGTGAAGTGTTCGTTATCCAAACAAGTGTTCGTTGTCTAATCCTAAAAATCTTTCACGAAAGTGTTCGTTAACCGATCACCCACTGTATAGGATTACAGGTGTGTTTAGTGTTTTCTTATCTTGCAGCAGTTTCAGCTTAGACAATTATTGAATAATATACAAACTATAACCAGTAATACTGTGTTCTATGAATAGTATTTTTGAAAAGATAAATTTAGATTTTTTACTTTTATTTTCTTTTATAGAAGATAGAGTTTAGATATTTACATTTAAAATGCTGTGCTAAGCAAATACAAATAAATATTAAATGAGGCTAGCACAATTTTACTGCATTATCTGTAGCACTAATCTCTTCTATTTCTCTAGGGATTTCTTAAATCAGGAATTGAATATTATAAAAATGACTAAGATAGAATGTATAAAATGTGATTATTTTGACTAAAAATGTAAATATTTATGCAAAATCAAAAGAGCTATATGTCATATAAAACTAAGATCTTAGAGGTTGCTGCTCAAATTCTTCTTGGTTCCAATGGAATACTTTATTTACAGATAAAATTGAGATGTTTTAATATACATTTAATGGTTACATCACAGCCTACATAATGAGATTATGTATAAATAATAGTGACGTTTGGCAGATAATTGGAAATTTTGGGTTTATTTTATACTTTCATAAAGTCAAGTTGTATAACATAACAATATGTATGTGCTACGACTGTGGAATTATCACTGAGACTTTCTGCACCTGAAAGATATCAAATGAGATATAAAAGACATAAAATTAATATTAGAAGAAGTTTTTGACCAGTGTTGAGACTAAATAAATAACTAAATAAACTAAGGAAATGGATTTTATTTTGGCAAAAATGAAATCTATTTCCTTAGCTGAAATTGTCTTAATAAAATCAAAGAATGTGTATAACACAACTATGTTAAATGTGAACAAGATCTGGTATAATGTACTATGACCAAGTATCTACTTTTGTTATTTATTAATTTTAAAGGCTGCTAATAATTTTGACCACTTTCTAGAGAAATCTACACATATTTGTAATAAAAAAGATTTACAATCATAGATTTAAAATCACGATAAAATATATTCTATTGTTCTTTTAAATGTAAAATATAAAAGAAGTGATTCCCAACGTAGGAGTTACTCCCCCCTTGAAGGTGGTAGAAGACTGAAGGAGCACTAGAAGCAAGGGGTGGTAGGGATGTTGAAGACAAGAGAGACAAAAA